GTAGGGTGAGTGAAAGATGTTACAGGTATTTGGAGAAAGCCGGTTTTTCATTCTGGTCACGAGCACTATTCGTGGGAGACCGATACAACATTATGACAAACAACAACGCGGAATCATTGAACTCGATGCTGAGACATGCTCGTTCGTTGCCAATCACGTGTTTGGTCGAGCACATTCGTAAAACAATGCAGAGGTGGTTTTACGAACGTCGAAGCAACGCAACCTCATGCAGCACTATATTATCTTCGAGGATGGAGAACGAGTTACAAACAACATTTGAAGCTGGTACTAGGCTTCGAGCCCATCAGTTGACAAACAGCTTGACCCAGGTTGGAATATCCAACGATACGGAGATAGTGGACTTCTCCGATAACACGTGCACATGTCGTGAGTTTCAACTAAATCGTATGCCATGTGCTCATGCAACTCGTGGGGCTACCCTGAGTGGTAAGTCATTATACGATCTATGCTCTCCGTACTATACATCGGAATACTGGAGGGGTGCCTATATGGAAGTCATATATCCCGTTACACGGGAAGTGGATTGGGTTGTTCCAAATGAAATCCTAGGCACTCATATTTTGCCACCGACCGTACGTCGTCCTCCAGGTAGACCACCGACGCGACGTAAGCGAGCTAGATACGAGTCCACTTCCCAACTGAGGAAATGCACTCGATGTGGGAGACTTGGTCATAACCGGACCACATGTTCGAACCCTATTGTATCACAAGCCACTTGAAGAAGCGTGATCTGTAAAAGTGGTTGTCAAATGTAATCCCCGAAAAACTTAATTTAAATATGCATTGTATATTCCGAACTTATTTTATGAATCTGTTATTATTATCGTATGCCAGTGCAAATTTGGTCATTATGTTCCGCAAGCAAAGTACCGATCATTACAGTTCCATTATCACGAATGAGATGAATACCTTCTTCGTACTATAAACTTAGTCGATCATAGAAGTTTCATTAGCTTCGACTGACAGTTCGTCGAAGTGGAAAACTGATTTTCATGAGACCATACTGAACAAACAAAACACCAACAGTACGTCTCGACAGTTCATATGTCGTTCCCGACAGATAGTCTCTGTAATTCTCGACAGTTGGGAACAACAGCGGCTTGAAAACCTATACTACTGCGGTTGCCTATTATGGAGATGCAGTTTCTGCACGTATCCAGCGAACGTGACCGAAATCATCCATACCACAAAATAGTAAACATATTTTCGTACAAAAGGGCCATTTATTGCACAGTTGCACTGCTTTTGACAATGTAAGAAGCTCCCCCACTTTCCCCATCAGACTCGTCTGAGCTAATGACAATTACATCTGGAGGTGGAACATGAGGCACCCACTCATTCGAGTCGGACGGTGACTTGACCGGGCCCCAAACCTCGAAGATTTGATCGAGAACGCTGTTCGGTGACTTAGATTCTGCACTTGACACTACGTCAAACTCGGCACCATGCAGTTCAACTCTTACGTCCTCATCGTCTGACAACAAAACGATGGGAAACTCAGCGGATGAACCCAATATGGGTGGATGCATATTGGAGTTGAATGTTTCATTGCTAGAGGTGGATGAACCCATTATCTCGTATCAACTACCTGTTTCAAAATGGAAGCCTCACAACAGCTTTAATGACATACGAAATGTAATTTGATAGACAATGCTTGTAATGCATTCATTAAGATAGTATAAATGTATTGGAAATACTTATTACTTGCAAAAAATCAGAAACGTATAATATCTACAATAGCATGTTACACTAACACACTTGTATTGGACAATCCCACCATTTTCAATTATCGAAACGCAAGGAAGTTATAAAATTTAATGGCCCGCCTAGTTGAACTGTCGGGCCCGACAGATGTTTTCTTCCTTCTCAACAGTTGACGAAAACGTGCATTGCAGTAAAGATTGTATAATATTGAATTTTGGTAAACTGCAGAATAAATGAAGAAGAATAAATGTACGCATACATAATTTTTTGCGCAATACAATGTACGAGCGTTGATGAACATTGAATGAAGGGACTTAGTACCGTAAGTACGATTGACATAACATAATAAAGCCGGATAACTAATACAAGTTCTAACACTACAATAATTTCAGCAACGGTAAACGGTGACAAGGCATTCACCACGGGAATTGCAAAATGTGATGAATGCTTCTAAGTGTCACCAAGCTTGCCAACTACCCTGTCTGATATGTAAATCACCAAAATGAATGAACAAGGCACCAATATAACGCGAAGTAACTAACATCCTTCACCACGTAAATTACATCAAACAAAATACAAAAGCATGGTGAACCCCGTCATCGTGCTATGTTCGGCAATTTATCCACAAGTATTAATGTTTTTGCTTTGCGCTCCCCCTCGTGTACGGAGTCCTAGTAGCAGGTGCCGGACGTCGCAGTCGTGCGGATCTCCGTCTATTTGTCGTAACTGCCCGTCCTGGTCGGGCAACATCGACGGGAACTGGGAAAGTTACAACGTAAGCAACTGAAAATGAAAATTAAATTCAACTGTCCGAAATTAAGGCAATACCTTGCACTTCATCCACTGCAACAAGCGCTAGCACGAGGTCATTGTCAGGGCATGGCTCAATGTGTACTGTGTCTGTCGAAAAGAACAATTAAATATTTTCAGTGTATAACTACATGTACGAATTTTCAAATTATGCCAAGTACATGAAATAACAATCTACAAGTTTTCCTCATAAATGACCCACATACCTTGCAAATTTATGGTTCCAGTAGGCACCATGTCCTTCTCTTTCTCACAGTCGCCAGGCGACGGGTGGTGGGCCCCTTCGACTACAACAAATGAACAATTGTAAACTAATCGAATGCCTGAAATAATATTTGTTGAAATCGTGAAAAATAATGCAATACCTTGCACTTCTTCCATTGTAGAGGGCTCTGGCACGGGGCGATCCTCCGGGCACGGCTGAATGTGCGCTATGTCTATTCAGAACAACAACGAAACAGCGAATGGAAAGTGAATTTTAACAATTTTCAAAACTTCCGAAACACATGAAATGATAATTAATCAATTTGCTCAAATGTAACCGACGTACCTTCCACACTTTCGGTTCCAGTGGCCAGTGGCATATCCTGCTCGTCCAGGCATGGCTCCATGTGTTCTTCATTAATGCACATACCGTCCCCCTCTTGCCTGTCAATCCCCATGTCTTCGTCGATACCGTCAGGCGACGGGTGGTGGCTTGCAAAGCCTCCGTAGTCTACAATGAATGAACAATTGTCGTACAGAACATGTCAGTGAGCAGGGATAAAGTGAACATTGTCATAAAGAAATGTAATACGCATACGGTGAAGTACCTGATTGTCTGGGCTCGGGGTCGACATCAGTAGCACATGCAGTGGTTGTAGAGCCGAATGCTGGGACGAGGGTGGATATGAAGTCCTTCAACTTTTTAAATTCATCTGACATGTGCTGCATGAGTTCGAGCTTCACAGTGATAAAAATTTCTAACAGAATTCTTTGATCTAGCAACATCCCCTGAACATCGTCTGCTGTGAGACTTGATGCAGTCGCTGCAGTAGGTCGTACATGAGAGGTGGATGGTGCCATGGGAGAAGTAGCTCTATGCTGGTGGGGGGGGGAGTCCCCGTCTGTACACTTCGTCCAACTCGATCACTGTCACTATCCTTACTGTCGTCCTCCTCCGAGTCCCCACCTTCTTCCTCTCCGCTGTCATCGGCTCCTAACTCCTCCTCACCACTAGTCCCGCCACCGTCATGGGCCTCCGCAGAAGTATCACCCTCGGGGGTGCCTATACGCTCTGCTTGGAACTGCGAAGCAACACTGTCCCTAGCAAGGTCATCCAACGCGGGGACAGGATCATCATTGAGCAGCACAAGAGTGGCGATATGAGGTTGCCCACGCTCAGTCTCGGTGGGCCGCAGTGTCGCGTACACGTGTAGCTACAACATGAACATATTCGTTACGAAATAACCACATGCTACAATGACGACTGGAAGGTATGAGATCGTAGAAGTAACATAATTTTTTACCTGTACATTCTTGAAGAAAGCGTCGTACGTACGCTGCTGCGGCTGTTTTGTTGATGTCCAGCCGAGAAGCCGTGGGGAACGTTCCCCAAGACACTCACCGAAGCGATCACCAATTTCAGGCACCGCCTCGAACGCTCATATCTGTTAGAGTAAAAAAGGAATGTCAGTTCAGAACGAAACCAACCACGAAATACATTTGCATTGAAATAATTTGTAGGTAAAGTAAAGACACCTGTATGGCAATGGGAAAGCCGTGGACCGTGTAGCTAACCGCCTTCTCCTTCTTCTTCGACGCATCCAAAAATTTTCTTGCCCAACGGCCCCGAAAGCCCTTTATCAGACGTCCGTACGAGATTCTACCCCAAGGATACGAAAAGAACAAGTCTAGATCGTCGACGATCGACAACGTCTCCATATCGATACCAACGTTGTTATCCGGAGCATTGAAGACTCCTTCGATGATCAAAGCGAGGCCAAGCTTGTACCGATCGGCTCGAGGCGTTGACGATCGAAGAAATGTCTGCTCGAGTTGGGCGCAAGAAATCTTGTCCATATGTTTAAAGTATTTGTCCTTTAGTCTCCTCTTCTCAAGAACTCGGTCCATGACATTGTCATCCGGGAGAAGACCACACCTTAATCCAGTCACAATGGCATATTCTTGAATTCCGAACCTAGCAAGGTGGCCTTGCAAATTAAACCACAGTTCGTGCCGCTTCTTTGTTTGTATGCAGCAGAATACGAGTTGTTGGATTAATTGGGCAGAGAACTGGAGATCTGGAACCTCGGACAAGAACCCAAGGCATGAGTTGCGAAACTCTTCCCGCTGTCGCTCGTCAAAATGTTCCACGACTGTTTTTATATACCGCAGATTGCTTCTCTGCGATACGTGGCCCCGCAAGCGTGCATTCTCCGGGACAAGAGGCTCAAAATCCATGTCTACAAAGACAAAATAAGAAAAAATTGCGTCAGACCACAATATAAACTTCTTCCCAGCATTGAAACGGAAGATATTCCCACATCAAACATGATTTCCACATCATAAATTGTTGCATGCAAAAAATAAAAGGAATACTTATATCTGAACGCATATCACATAGAAATATCATTTTCTACTGGTAGGCCCTAGGCAGGCAGGAACTGAACTGTCGATCCCGACATTTTATCCGTCGACGGTTCATCTGTCGAGAATTACAGAGGATAAGTGTCGGGTACGACAGTTGAGAAACAACTATGTATAGATGAACTGTCGGGAAATCCTGTTTTGAATATGTTTCCTGGTTATTAACATATTTTGATCATACAAAACAAAAAATAACTGCAACTGCAAAGAAAAGACCAATCTTTGAACCAATGGAATGAGTTGTTTACGGCTAATATGTAGAAATTTTCCACCCGAATATAACGAGTACCATCCACAACAAGTGGATTGCAAGTGAAAGCAAGGTTATGACATATGTAACGTAAATATTGAAACGAAAGATATATCAAGTGTCAATCAAGATTTCCACCAAATGCATACAATAAGGATTACCCATTTTACTTCAAGTCACCCTTTACAAATTTACTTATGTAAGATTGAAATTAATGCGAAACACACAGAGCTGAGGTAAGGACTGAATTGTCATTCCAGACATTTTAATAGACATAATCACAACTAAACTATTTAACTTTTTTTCTTTTTGCACATAGAGATGTGACTGTATACATAAATGACTTCAAACATGACCCTATTACATGAATGACTCAGCCATAAGTGTACATGCAAATGCAAAGACGGTTCGTATTCGGGAAAATGGAAGTACCCACACTTCAAGACTTTTGTGCATTGGAAACTTTAGTCACACATATGTAAATTTCCCTTTAAATAATTTTCATTAACTAATTGTGTGCACCATATACCAACATTTTTGCAACTAGTGAACGTGTTAACCCTATTTACCCATAAATAATAATATTGCCACATATACAACTACATTTTCTTAATCTCCAACTCCCACCAACTGCTAATGTATGCCATAAACATGGAGAGGTAGTACTCATACTTTTCCCATCTCAAAAGCAGAGTTTAGAGTTGAAAACAGTTCCTAGACGACGAGAGAGAGGGCATACTAGCATAAATACGTAAAGCGTAGATATACTTTTTCGAAGTGTTTAATAAATCATTAAAAGAAATACATGATTATGTAAACGTGTTTCACATATATATCGCAAAATCTCAAATGATTAACATTATCCATACATAACGTCAACAACTTAAGTGGTGAGATCGCTCAACAAAGCCGGTAAAAGTGGATGGATTTAATTCAGTCAAGATTCAAAGAGAATCATAAAAAACTGGGTAATAATAGTTATTTTAAAAATGGAACCGTAGGATTCATATCTAAGTCTGGAACCAAACCATAAACGAAACGTTCGATTCACCACATGTTCCTTGAATAAGTTAAATTTGCTAATCTATATGCAAATAAAATGTCATCATATGTAAGTTCAATAAGCTAAAATGTCATCATATGTGACATATATTTGGGTAAACATGTAAGTTCAATTAATGTGGTGTTATGAGACCTATTTATTGGACATATCATGTACTGCCACATAGAAGTATGTTTTAGTATCTACGGTATTATATAGCATTACTCTTTGAAGATGGATAAAACTAAAAACAAAAATAAAATGAAATTGTCTATATACTATAGTAAACATAAAATGAACATAGATCTCGTGCCAAATTGCTTCTAAAAATAGAAGAAAAACATGTAGGTGAAATTCGTTATAAGAAGCTATAACATTCCAATTTCAGTGCAAGGATCAATGTGTTTGTGTAATTTTTTTTTTTTTTTTGAAAAGTCAATTATCAATATGTTTGTGTAACATTCATTAGAGTTCCAATTATCTACTACAATTCACATTTTCAATTGACTCCAACAATTAAATAGGACATAAAGCAGATAGATAAGTGAGGTATTCGAAAGGAGCCATAAAATAAGTACAACCTCAAATAGATGTGTCACATGAAGTTAAAGTTATATCATTTCCAAAACTTAAAGCAAAATAATTAGAAGTATCATACTGCCAACATTGTTTTACTTTCTCTTTTTGTTAGAGACAAGCAAATGAAGGCAAAAGAGATTGAACAGTGATACAAAAAATAATCAAGTTATGTACAGTAACTAAATGTATTCGTTACATAACAAACGCAAATGGCCTACAAGTGCACTTGATTTCTATCACCCCAAGATGATAATCCTAGCCAATATGTGTTGAAACATTAACTAGGACATGAGTAGAGTATATAAACTCTAAATCCACAATAGAATCCAAAAACAAAATTAACATAGAGAGCACTTGATTTCTTGTGAACTTTTGAAGTTCAAACGCTCAGGCGGTTTCGAAGATTGCTATACTCTTAAACGTGGTTCATAGCCAGCAGCGATGCATGTAAAACAGACTCAACAAAAACTCAAACAGTGGTGGTGCATTTTGTGGTTGGCATGTTCTATTACAAGAAGTGGTTTCAAATCTCTTACTCCCTAAAAATGTTGGAATCAATCTACTCATAATTGTAATTTTCATTTCATTTTTTCGCATTCTTCAGTGCTATAATACCTCTAACGAATAACACTACTCCACATAGAAAAGGTTCACTTATCCTCATTATCTCATAGTCCAATTAAGTCTAACACAATAAACATAAACAGTTGGCATCCTTAACTAAAAAATATGCGACTGAAAATAGCTATTGCTAAAACGGAAAACTTTGTTTTCGTATCGGAGGATAATTTCCAGAATGGAGGATCATAGAAGTTATAAACACATGCGCCATAAAATAAATATTATAATTTCAATTGACTCACTTTATAATTTAAGATCAAGTGTTGCAACTCACATATTATACTAAAATAAGAACTGGATCAACAAATACATAACAATAAAAAAAAAAAAACTACATACTAGTAAACAGACAGCTTCAAACTTAATTAATAGAACTCAACAAGATTGAAGCTTGATTGGTAAACAGAGTTCACTTACCAAATCAGATGATGAGACTAGTGTAGTAGTGCTTATAAAATGCCTATATTCCTTGGAGGTTTACCATTCGAGGATTTCCTCAAATTAGCTATACCATCTTTCTCAATAGCAGCCACATTATCATCCTCGTTATATTCACCTTCTACGGCAGTAAACAAAGGTGAAAATCAGTGCCAGCAGCAATGTTGCTTCGAAAAACATCAATTTGCGTTCATTACACAATATGAGTGACCAAAAAGATCACTTTCTGATAAAAAAATGCAACTATACCAGATAAAGTTTTGAAAAACTTTCTCAACACTTCTTTTAGTGCGAATCTAAGTTTTTGAAATTCCAGATTATGTTTTTCTGGGTTTGTTCCCAATGTCCAAAATCCTTTAATTGGGTATTTATAAAATAATTTTTTTTGGAGATTTCTCATTTTTCAAAATTTTCTGTTTGAAGGTAACCTGTAACCACATTTTCCTACAATAATATCTTCAAAATTTTAGATCTTCAGACCACCTATGTACACGTCAACACTCTACGAAGAATTTCCTCTTTTCCAGAAAACAAAATGCAAAAAATTAAGAAAACACTAACATGAAGATATTTGTGACAGTCTCCGTCGACGGTGGAGTGATTGATAGCGGTCGTCGATGGGTAGCGTTGGAGGAGTCGAATACCATAGGGGAGTTAGTGCTCGCCTTTTGCAGATTCGAATGATAGACGGGATTGAGTTTACCTTTAGTTAATTCGTCGGTAGTGAACGTTGTGTATGGAAGTGGTCATCGACGGTATGAAGGTGGACCATGGCCAACTACAGTGAGAGAGGAGAATTTGTGAGACCAGTTTCTCCTTCTTCTTTGTTTGGTCTTCTCACTTTCTTTACCGATTTTGTGTTGGTTTTTCCCCCATTATAGTCCCCCTGACATTTCACAGTTTTTTGTATAATTTGGTAACTAGTCATGTCTCATTTAATCAAGGACATAGAAGGGATTCAAATTTGTCTGAGGGGCAAAAAAGACCAAAATTGACAATTTTGCAATGAGTTTTAAAAAATGACATTTTTGTAAATGAAAACCCAAAAGTTGACTATTTTGGTAATTTCCACTTTAATTAATGATTTACCTATTCACATTATAGCAATATATTTAAAGTAACTTAACATATTAGTTTAAACGAGAACTAATAATGTTAATTGTTAAATTACATTCATATTTACCATGAAATTCATGAATAAATTATTTTCAAAGTTGGTTGTCAAAAGATGTTAATAGAACAGATACATTATTTTTTTTACCTTTTCTTGTTTGACATTGATATTGTCATATAGCGGTTGGTAAATATAAAATTACATTATGCTATTATAGTTTGGTTAAAACTCATTTCGACTTGCAAGTGAGATATTAGATAAGGATTGAACGGGATATGTTTAGATGCACAAGGATTGATAGAGTTTCGATTTATTGAGAGTTGGCGAATTTCATTATTTAACTACTATTTATGAAAGTATAATGTAATAGTACTAGTTAGGAAAATTAATCATCTAGGTACACAAATAATTATTTTTCTATTAAAATCACAATTCACAAATGTTTGAATGAGAATTTGAGATTTACGAAAGGGAAAAGAGAAATATACGATTTAGGTAGAAATTAACAAATCAACAGACAAAGGCAACTAACAATTCGTTCAGCAATGATAGACAAGCATCAAATGTTAGGGAAATGAGAATTTATGTTAGAGCTTCTGAAATTTTGGACGTGATTGCTGATGTAGTTTTGTTGAATTATGATTTGAATTATTATATATATATATTTATTAAACTATAGGTCAATAATAATAAACCTAATTTACTTTCTATTATTATTTCAATAGATTGGTTGTAATTTGTATCGCTAAATTGTTATTTCCTCTGAAAAGTGAAATTTGTAAAAATTTTAAGTTAATAAAATTAATGTTTTAATTAAAAAAATTTAAAATTGTTCGGTTTGATTTTGTACTATTTTTGAAAATCAAAACCTAAACCAAACAATTTTAGTCCGATTAGAGGGAAAAAAATCAAGGGTCCATGTGGACCCAAACTAACGATTTTAACTCAACGATTTCGGTTCGATTTGCGGTTTCCTAATTTTTTCGTGCAGCCCTAATTTGATAGGATTAAAATTAATTTTTTAATAAATTTTGATAAAAATTAAAGAATTATATCTTTACTCTATAAAAATAGCAATCTTGGAGTTAATATAGAAGCAACAGTGAATTCTTCCATTTTATTTCACTGTAGTTTTTTTTTTCTTCGTTCCTGTTCAACCGTTTTCCTGACATGTTAGTGTGATATTCTTCCACTTCCTTAATTTGCGTACATCTTTCTTTTTTATACTTATCCGGTTTGCTACTGTTTATTAACTTAGATGGGCCAAAACGACACCGTGTGATGGGAAAAAGGAAAAACTCAGACTCTCGTCATTTTTCTGTGCCACTTAACCCTAACTGCGCTCTCTATCTCTCTGTCTCGCACGCGATCGGTGCCACAGTAGCAAGGATTAACGCTGAATCTGAGCCAATTGAGACGTATATTTGTGAGTACTGCATCGATTCCTTCTTCATCTGTATATAATCGGTGCCACAGTAGTATATAATCACGCTAAGTTTGAGCCAACTGAGACAATCGTTACTGCATCGATTTCTTCTTGTTCTATATATATTGTTTTTGTTTTATTGTGTTCCATTGTTCAATATATGCTTTTTTTTTTCTTCCCCTGATTCAATCTTCGAAGAGTAGAACCCGAAATATGAGAAGACAGTAAAGCTATGTAAGGGGTAGTTAGAGTTTAGGATGCTGTGTATATGTTTTTCGATTTATGTAGCCGTTGTGTTGAATATGGGATTTTTTCTTTAATCTGCGATTTTTGTTCCTCTTTTTTCTTTAAGAGATCAAAGCTGAGATATTTAAAGTTTGTTTCTTTGATGTTATTTTTATGTATTTTTTTTGTTCTATTTGTTCCTTTCTTATATGTTTTTTGATTTTTGTAGTTGTCTAGAGGAACATGTTATTACTATCTCTATTCATTTTGGAAACTTCTCTTTCATACCAATCTGGTTTGCTACTGTTTTATATGCTAAATTTGAAAGAAGAAGTTAGATACAGTAAGAAATAAGTAATAATGCTCGGATTTGATAGACAGCAAAACCAAAGATGGGACGGACTTCGAATTGTCATAGCATAGATTTGATAGACGGCATAACCAAAAATTAGTTCTCAGCTGATGCATAGGAAAAATATTCACTCATTCTCCGATTCTATGGATGACGGCACTGCAATTAAGCCAAATACGGACAAGCCGGTCATTGTCAGGGTTAAAAGAAAAGCTTCCCAGTCTCTCCTCGATGCTTTTTGTGAGTACGGGGTTTAGCTTTCAATGTTTTACTCGTCTTTATTATTTTGGAAGGCGTGGCTAACTCGAAGCTAATTTTTGGTTTACTTTTCCTACATTTATGTCAATTAGGGCTAGAGATTAATGAGAGGCCAACAAAGCGGCCGCTGCTTGACTTTGAAAAGTTATCAATCTCTGGTTCTTCTTCTAATAGAGGTATGTGAAGCTTCCCAATTTTACTTTGTATAGCTTTTCTTTGGTCTCTTAATGGGAACTCTAGAATATTTCGTGTAAAAGATTGTAATTTGACAGAATTATTGCTACATTATAAATCTGGTCAACCTTATGACGTTTTCTAATCCAATCAGGACTGGAATTGGAACTAGCTTATGTGTTAATTATCATTAAATGTTCACATTTCCTATAATCAACGGTGTGGGTGGGGCTGAATGGTGGTGGACGGTTTCAGTGGCAAATTCAAGGGTCCTTTGGTAAAAATATCATCAGCTATATGTCATAAGGAGAAAAGCTAGTAAGGAAAAAAGGTTAAAAATAAGAAGAAAGAAAAAAAGAGTAATGAAGTTTGCTGACAAGGCGAATAGCAAGTTGATATTAAATTTGTATCTTAGATTTATATGTTCCATACTGCTAGCTTAATATAAATTTGTAAAAATGCATTTGATGTTGCTACACTCGTGCCCAACGCATGAATTAGTTTTGTCTGGAGTAAGGGATTAATTGAAGCGTTGGTTGGATAACTTTTATATTCTTCAACGTGACTGGTCATAGAACAATTATCTGTTTTCTTTGTGGTTTTTGAAATCAATAATGGTTACCTGGTCGGGAGATATGGCAAAATGCATTTAGTACTTGGCAATGAGCAGTTTCCAAGCAGGCATGTGATTAATTCCTAACACGATGCTTTTCTTTGACATTTTTAAGTGGAAGAATTGAAGACCAAAAAGGTTCTTGTACGGCATGTGGAGACAGTAATTACCTCAGAGGTCACTGTTGATGTGCTACGATCTTTTGTGGTATGTCAGCTAATATCAATTGTGTTTCTGCACTATCTGTATGTGGACAGTTGATGATGCGATGTTTTGATCTGGGTAGTGTGGATTTTTTAGTCTCTGCGTGATGTACATTTTTCGGTTTGCTGTCCGTTTTAAAGATATATCCATTATGGAAGCTGATGGTGAAGTGGTTATAACTTGTAATTAGTCTTACTAATTTTGTTGGTTGAACAGCCTAATTCATCTGATGCACTGGAACCTAAAGAGAAAAATGGAGGAAGAAGATGCACTTTTAAGACGGAGAATGTGAGTTGTTTATCTCTCCCTCCTCCAACACACACCTTTTTGCGCACACACTTACATAAACTAAGGCTGTCGGTCCCCTCATGCACAAGTTATGCATCCATTTTCTCATGTCCTGAATTGCTCTAGTTTACTCTAGTTCGTACCTTGACATGTAGAAAATCTTCCCTGCTATTCCACCCTTTTTCGTAAGCAGAGTATAATACCTTTTTATGAAATCAAAGCAAGATGGAATATTATTTGTAAAAGCAAAGAGATCTCTTACTTTGCTGGATGTCAATCAAAGCAACTGAATGTGTCTGTTATTTAGTCCAGAAAGTAGCTAATGAGCCTACCTGGTCTTTTTTTAGTGAGAATAGATACTTGCTCCTGCAAAACCTTCCACCTTCTCATGGAAAGTAAATTGACCAAGATACCACAACCTAGATACTAGAGTCAGCAAATTGCGTGAATAGGGAAAATCATTAATTTCTAAAATGGTCAAGCTATGCTAGCAGCTGTAGCCATTCAACGCTAGAAAACAGAGATTATAAGCTGAATCTTTAAGGTGCATTACTATAAGTTTTCAGGAGGGCTTCGATTGAGACGGAATGCTGGTTGGAGGAGCAGTCCAGAGATGCAGTGTTATTTTTCCCATGCATCAGCTGAGAAATAATGTTTGTGGTTTGGGATGAGATCCAGGGGTTGAGTGCTTAATGAAGGAAAAATGGAGCGGGGAGTGTAATGGAATGTGGTGGAGAAGAACAGTTATGAGATTATTTTTGCCAAATGTTCCATTAAGAACAGTTTTAACGTCATACAATATTTTGTGAAATTTTATTGGCCCATTGGCGCACTATTTTAATTGCTACTTTGTGACTTTAGTGCTTTATTATTGAATGAAATAAATCAATTATTCCCTTCAAACAAATAAGAAAACAGAAAAGAAAAATTCAGGCTGATGCCAATCTTCTGTGACCCAGTTGTCCATTATTGAACTCTGCTACTACCAATAGCACCTGACCATAATAGCAGTTGATTCCCCTTCTGAACTCATAAATAATATACGACACCTTAGCTGATGGAGGCCCATGCAAGCAAAATAGGGTGGATAAAAAGGAGATACCATCACGGCTATCTTACTTTAAACTGCCACAGCCACCGCTATAGTTTGACCACCAAACGCCTTTTTCACAAACACTGCTCTAAAGAGAACTAATAAATTTTGTAGTATCAACTGGGGCTACTGGCATCTTCATTGTGATTGACAGAAGCCTCTGGGAAGGGCTGAGGTTGTGGTGTAGGTAAGTGCGGCATGGAGAGAAGGTGGCAGAGGTGTTGAGTTCTGCAGGAACTTGAAAGGTAGAGGGTTTGATAGTACTCTTGGTTGAGGAGATAAATAAATTGGATTGGAGGTGGCAACAACTTTGTAGGTGAGGAATTGGCAGTGGCCACACGATGTAATCCAGTCAGCTGTTGTATATGTGTAAGAGGGCCATGCCATTGGAGAATTCAGGAAGAAGGGCATTAAATTTGAGATTGACGGAGTAATATTTGAAAATGATATGATCTTGGTCTGAGTCTGTAGATTGAAAGTTTGTGTGCAGGGCTCTGTGAAGAGTAACCAATTCCATGTTGCTCATGATTATGTTTTATGTGTTTGTGCGTAGATATTTGCATCTACATGTATTGAGCTCCCAATAATTGCTGCTGTCTCAGATTTGCATAAAAGTCGTGTTCACTGTGTTGTGAGTGGCTTTGAATCCCATTCTAAATGCTTATAATTTATTACAGGCATATATTCTGGCACTGCAATATTGCACTTTTTCTGAAACATTGTACTGATACTATTCTGAGATGTTGCCAACTCAGTATAAGGTCTTCCTTAATGATGTTCTGTTGTCAATTTTAACCATAATGTTCTATCTTTTAAGTTTTAACCATTTCGAGGTTTTGGTAGTCGGCAGACTTAAAATCTCAATTTGTTGTTGCAATTTGAGGACACTGTCCAGTTGACTATTTGCCACAGTATAGATGGATACATGAAGGGAAAAATTCCCATTTAAAGATCAGTATATTGTTTTGGTGCCTCAAAAGATAATCAAAATTGCGATATACTTCGAGTAACTAACCTTAGCATTTTCTAATTAACTCTGCAGAAACAGGAGCAGTTGCTTGTCAAAGCAAGACAAAGACAAGAGGTAAATTGTGCATGGGAATTTTGATGTCATCATTTTCGCTTCTCAATTTTAAAAAAACTGGGATCGTCTAGGTTTCGGTTCTCATGTAGAATATGTTCGTAATTTAATGTCTTTCTTCTAAGCATGGGTATTATCTATCTGGAAATACCTAGGCCTAGTAAAGAAGACACGTTAAGAGAGAATACCACAATATGTTAATGGATATGAGTGGAGCTAAAATTCGTATTCTCCCCTTTCCTAAACTTATCAAGATAAGGAAGCAGAATTTTCATTCACTTTCCTCTCTTCCTGTCTTACTGAGAGTTCTTCTTTCTTAATAATATTTTTTAGGTTGTGATAATTGCATGCCACTAAATATTCTTGTACATATATTAAATGTTGGCTGATATTTATAATGCAACGCCCTTATTTTGGTTCCAATGTCAGTTCAAAGCCTTATTAACAGTCCTCCCTAAGTCCTTCCCAACCGTCCTGACCAAACAAACTCAATAAGTTATGCATTAATGTTATTTTATGTTTCTATTATAATAATTATTATTCCTTTAGGTTTTATCCAAAAATGCTCGTTTTGAGCAAATATGGAGAAGCCGAAAGGGAAAGAATGAAGCTGTAGAAGATGATGCAGTACATGAAATGTATCGACTCTATGATGTTGTCCGGGTTGATGCAGAGAAGAGAGAGAACGAAGTGCAAGAGGAGTAAGTTCTGCTGTTGCATTATATTGCACCATTAGTTTACCTACATCTCTTCTTGATATGAAATTCCTTTAACTTCCATGCAGGGATACGGAATTGGAGGACCACAGGATGATGGCTCAATATCTGCCTCTCCTAAGAGAAGTTTTACCAACTGCTGCTGTGGAGATTGAAGATGATATTCACAATTATGCTGCCAGACAAGGTTTTGCTCTTTCACTTGTTCTTTTTTTCTTTGATTGGGATGTTCTGCTGTCCTTCACTTCTCTGTTATTTTTTGGGCATGATAATGAGTCAAAATAATGTAAGACATTTCAACCAGGTTTATTTAACAAAAATGAAAAGTGAAAAATGGATAAGAAGTTTTGATTGGCTTATGTAATGTGCAAATCACTGTCACTGGTGACTGGGATTCTGTTGGTTCATCCTGCATTTTCTTTTATCTTCTGAAAGTATATTGGAAATGTTTAAAACTTCCTGGTGCATACACATATTTTTCTGTATGTTTGCATCTAATAAGACTATTCTGGTGGTTTATAATATTTGATTGTCGTGCAGCATTTTCAGATGATTATGTTTATGATTTTTATGCTGTTAAGGGTGACGCCAACATTACTGATGCTGATTCTGCAAGCCAGTTTCCTTTGTAAGACTCGATCCTTGTGAATGTTTGCTGATTATGATATTTGATATTCTGTTTACGTTAAACAAAAACTGTTCTGCTTGTATAGGGTTCAAGTTGACGATGATACCTTCTATGATGGCCCAGATGATTCAGAATATGAAACTGATGATTCTAATGGTGTAATCTCCACACACACACACACACACACACACACACACACACACACACACACACACCCCCCCTCCCTCTCTGCCCCGCTCTCACTCACTCCCCTCTCTAGGCGTGATTTTATGCCTAATTCAATTTCGTTTTGAATCTCAGCGGAGGACAATCCGCTCAATGAGTATCCGGATGAAGAGACATCTGAGGATGAGGATGTGAGTAGATCATCTGATGAGAAATCAGAGGTCGAGAGCAGATCTTCCAAGAACCAATCTGAAGAATCTGAAAGTGGAAGTGAAACATATTATAATGAACACGAGGGTACAGGGCCATTTGACTGGTCAGACAATGCAGATTCATTGTTCGAAGATGACAAGTACTTTGATGATGGTGAGGAAATTTATGATGATGATTTGAGGTAATTTTGTTTTTGGTCCATTGTACCTTTTCTCTGCCTGTGAATTTTTACTTCAAGCATGTATGGGTAAGTTGTTGTGTTGCTACACGCACTATAATCAAACACACTTCGGCCTTTGCTGAGATCATTAACAATTGGGAACAGGTGTTTGGTACTTTCCCAAGTAGGGCTCGTAAATGTTAAAATTGTGTTTAGTTTGGCTCAGTATTTGCTGTGATGCTAGCAAATAATAATTTTCTATCGTGTCTAGGTAGAGCCCACAAAAATATATATGCTCCGTTTGTATGAAGGCATCTGAATTAATATTATATAGCAGTCTTTTATTGCTTTTGAATTGATTTTCTTTGGAGGTGTAAAAATGGGATTTAGCCACCTAAGGCTCTGTTATCTTATTTGAACCACTACACTCTTTAACTCTTTAGAATCGTTTGGAAGCGACGAATGAACAAATTTGGTTGGATATATTTCTTTTAGAACTTGTTTTTACTTAATTTGTTCGATTGATTATATGTTCAGGCTTTAGCCAACTTGTGTTTTTTTGTTAAAAGGATCAAATGCACCACTCTATAGAAATTGTTTGGAGGTGACGGGCTGACAAATATTGTTTCATCTTTCTTGTGGAGAACTTGTTTTACTTAATTTGTTTGATTGATTCTTTGTTCAACCTTTTCCATTGTATGCATGTTAGTTCAGAATGAACTAATTTGTGGTCAAGAGCATAACATAGTTTTTTACCTGTCGTTATCAACTAATAGAATTCATTTTTAAATTACTTCTTTCGTTGAACATAATTTTTGAATTGCGTGCAATCAAATTATTTATAGAGCAATGTTAGGTGTACAGGGGTGCCTTCATAGGGCATTTACAGATCACACGCAGGTGGGTGGGTATTTTTTTGGTAATATTTTACTTACATGGGGATCCCATGTGAGTATTCTGTATCTTTATCGTGAAAGATTATTCTGTACACAAAGAATACTTGTAATTTATAAGCGTATGAGTGGGTAGTGAACCTGACATGGGTGGGGATCAAGTTGGGGAAGACATGCTAATTTTTTTCTAATGTCTTTTTCTCATTTCTCATAAATAAATTAAAGTGTAATAAATCAGGTGTCTGCAGTAACAGTTTCATGCACGTTTTAAATGAAATTCCTATTTAAAAATTCGCGTTGCTGCTGCTGAGAAAATGGAGAATTGAAAGGTGGGACAAAAATATTAAGAAATTTTCACTAGACTCTAAAAGCACATGGAACGAAGATGTTGGGTATGATTTATTTTTTTTCCTTCCTTATTCATTTAACAATTTTGTAATGGCACCGGTATGATTTATTTTTTTTCCTTCCTTATTCATTTAACAATTTTGTAATGGCACCGTAACATTATTTTGATGCTCGTAACGAGAACAAGAAATAGAAACCGAAAAAAGTCTTGAATAACGTTTATAATTCTCGTTTCTTAACTAGAAAAGTTATATGTATAAAGATGGTTTACAAAATTGATTGACAGAATAATATTTCCATCAATCATTTTAAAAATAGATTTTTAAATCATTGGAAATTAATAGTCTAGATTTTGTTTTATTGTCAACCAAATTTATACACACACTGTGTGCAAATGGTATAATAGTCATGGGCGGGCCCAAGGGGTTTCGCTATCTTATCTGCTTCTGTTTTAGGCATCTAGATAAGAAATGTCAGTCTCTTGTCCACTTGCTACCTTTCAATCTTCTTAACTTCTTACTTCCTGTCATTTGAAAGACTCCTCTAATGCCAATACGAAGGGGGGTCTTGGGGGTCACTTGACCTCCAACTTTTGAGACTTTTTTTTTTTTTTTTTTTTTTTTTATTTGATAAGTAATTTTTTGGTTTTTTTTTTTTAAATAAATAGAAATATAAAGAGGGGTAGTTATTCATATAAAGTTAGGCAATTTTGGCGAAATTTGGTTTTTTTGAAAGTATTGGAGGCAATTCAGCAAATACGAGCAGAACAACAGTGGAAGGAAAATATGTTTGGTCTAGCCAATGTCTACTAAAAATTATGAAATTTTTACTACAACTAAAACATTCATTTATGTACAACATATAAAAATTTGGGGTCTTGATGATAAAGTTTGAAGCACGAAAGTATTTCTCGAATATGCTGGACAGAAAACTCGGATTCGACACGATTTACTAAAACGGGCATAACTTTATCTCTAGCTAATATTTTAAGGTAATTTTGAAGACTACTATTAGAAGACTCGTAGACCTTTGAAAAACCATTGATTTCACTCTAAAATGTGCACCATACCCCAATTGATACCATTTTCGATCAAAAAGACAGAATCTGAATTTTATGTTCAGCAGTAAATAAACTTCAGGCATAGTCATTCCAACATTTCCAAATTATGGTTAACATGAAATGCATATAAAATGAGATGAAATAGACGTTTAAATGTTTCTAAAAGTGCCATCTAGTAATTCATAATAGATTTACACGAATTGGAAATTTTACTAGAAAGTTTGTACAAAATTTGATTGTGCCCTCTAACTCAAGTTCTATGCGTTCGTTCCTGATAATACTGACTAGAAAATATTCTGGAGCAGCCCCTATCCTTTGACTTTTGTAGCAAGTTGGCCTCATATTTAAAATGGAGTATTTTAGTGCTAGATCATTCAATGATGTTATGCAAGAATGGATATTTTACGTCCAAAAGTTTGTCAAAATTTAACTAAAGAAATTTATATAAATTTAATTAAATTAAGTAAAATAATAAAAAAGAAAAAGGTAATATGAAAACATATTTATCAAACCTCCAATCTCTTAATTCCAGGCACCCCCACTTTTATTTATTTTCATTTTAATTAGATTTAAGTGTAACCCACCTGTTGTGTAATATAATTGTGGAATAAAGTTGAAAATTTATGGATCTCTATGTTTTGATTTTAATATTGAGGACAATATTGGTATAGAAATGATAGATTGAGGATCAAAGATGAACTTTCATGTTTAATTCTTAAATATTTGACCGGGTCGGGTAAGAATAAACCGGTACAGTAACTTACCCGACTTCGAGTCCTAGACAAAGAATAACACGAGGATCTGAGGCTAAATGGTAGGTGACCCGGCCCATTTACCAAAAAGGCCGTTGACCACAGTCATTTACAAAAAAATGTAAAAGATTTAAAATCTCACATTTGCCTTTCAATTCAAAAAGAGAGAAAAATGAGAGGAAAAATAGAAAAATCCAAAATTGAATTGCGCTATTAATCATCTTCTACACATTTAATCAAACTAGTTTTTTGCTTGTGCAATGCACGGGCAATTTTATTTTAAGGTAATGTTAGTATGTCGAACGATAAGGATTGATGGGAGACACGTGCATAGGATTAGGCTAGCAAAATGAACTTAATTTGATGATGCAAATTTTCATATGATTTACCCATGAAATACAGCTACGAAGCATTGGAAAAGCACGAAGAAATCAAGAAAACTTCAACTTAGATACAAAACAAGTACCAAACAAGAGCGGTACACTTCCTCATGGTCAATGACAAAATAATACAATTTTTGTACATAAATAATTTTTCCTTTTTAAAGGTTGAACCCCAACCTTAAGGGTCCCCCACCGCCTATACCCTGGAGTATCGTAAGGGAGGTAAATCGCAGGTTATGCCTCCAAGGGTACAGGGTGGAAGGCTGCTTGTACACTTGCACTTACCCAAGAGCCAAATCCATATTTCAGGATTCGAACCATTGACACAACAGCCTCAAGTAAAGGTGGATTTCTCCACCCTCTCCTTTTACCACTTGGAGATGTGCCCTGGGGACAATAATTTTTCCTTTTTAAGATGCACGCTAAGAAGATCTACCTTCAAAATTCATAACAAAGATTTAAAGGGTAATAAAAATAAAGAAAAAGTTTTACTCGAGAAGTTCCATGTCTCTTTATATTTGTGACTCATTTATTGAGAGTCATTAAGATATATGTAATATAACAAAAAAGGAATAGTCACATTAATGGAGTAATGGTGACAATTTTGCTCCCCTGTCCTAGTTTATGTTTTGCCCAAAAAGTTCCTGACATAGTTAATAGACTATAAAAATCAGGTCAAAGAAAATTCAAGCATGAAAAGTAAAAGGTTGATCTGACCTTGTAAGAGTATTCTCTTTTGGATCAAATGGCCACTTATTTATATTCTTTTATGTACTTCTATATATTCTTAATGTCTTAATTTCTTTTAATGTGCGTGAAGCCCAATCAACGATACGATTAACACGGGCTAAGAAATAAAGCACATTTTGAGTACTAAATAGCAAAATTAATAGGTTGGGGCACCCTATATCAAAATAAAACAGCTTATGCTTATTTTTCAACACTCACTTTTCAGCACTCACTTTTGGTGTAGAAGCAAGTGCTGAAACAATTTTTTAAGTGCTTGTAGTGTCTAGAAGGACAGCACCAAACACCCCTAACATGAAAAATCAAAAATTTAAAAAAAAAATGAAAAAGCATTAAGTGACAAAAAATTGCCTCAAAGCACTTTTGTATTTAGCCCACAGTTGCCTTCAATGACAAAGTACTGTTCAAAACACACCCTAACAAAATGGGATTGCTAAAAGAATGAACAAAACACTCATGAACAAAGTCAGATGTCTTCTTATCAGCTTAGAACTAGCAAAATGGTTCTGAGCTGAGACTGTTTATACTACTGCATTCTTTATGAATAGGTCTCCTAATAGTTCTGTTGACTTTAAAACACCTCAAGAATTGTGGACTAGAAAACCACTTGACCTATCACATATTAGAGTGTTTGGATGTGCTGCATATGTACACCAAACCGAAGGAAAATTAAATCTTAGGGCAACAAAGTGTGTTTTTCTGGGGTATTCTGAAGGAGTAAAGGGTTATAGACTATCAGTCTTAGATGGCAAAGGCATAAAAATAATCAAGAGTAGGAATGTTGTATTCACTGAATTTGAAATGCCATGTTTAAAGAATAAGACTGAAAAACATGTTGAACCAAATGAAAGAAACATCCCTACAAATGAGGTTAAGTTGGCCAGGTTCATTAACTCATCACCTGAGGTCAATGAACCTGCTGTACAAAAAACTCTAGAGAGGATTGGGGAGCTTGATGAAGGTGAATGTAGTTCCCCTAAAATAGAAACTGAACCTAAGATTTAAACCACTCGGACAATCCAAACACCGAACCTATTAATCAAGACTACCAACTTGTAAGAGATGGGGAAAATGAGGCAAGTGAAGCCTAACCTTAGGTATGAAATTAACAATTTGACTGATCTACTCGCTTTAACATTTGGTGAAGCATTAGAGAATTCAGAATCTTCTACCTTTGAGGAAGCTATGAATTGCCCTAATGCTGCAAACTAGAAAACTGCAATGAAAGAATAAATGAAATCCCTAACTGAAAAAAAAAATTGGAGGTTGGTAAAAATGCCTAATAATCATAGAATTGTTCAGTGTAAGTGGGTTTACAAGTTAAAGGAA